GTCCAGAACGAGTGTTTCGTTCTGTAATGAAAACCCCAATAAACTCACTCAGAAATGACTCGTTTCGAATAACTTTTACGCTGGTTATTATGTGGCAACCGGTATGAACTCGTTCTTGTACAAAACTCATTCGGATATCATGTAAAAGGTCCTTAAAAGTTTTTTTTTCCCAGAGCATCACGCTTTGCTCGCCTGTCTGAATCCTAAAAATTTCAGTAGCGTTGAAGCAACAACCCGCTTTTAACTGCTTCGCTGCCGTTGAACAACGATTAGTGAAGAAAGCACATATTTCAATGTTTTCAATTCAAAGTAAACAAAAATCTTTAGACATGGTAAATATTCACTTGTGTCGGTATCAATTATTGCGTGGCTAGCTTATGATGTAAACGGAGGGAAGGGAAAACACAACGCAAAACCTGGGCTCCTGTCAAAAAGTAATACCCAGGCGTAATATAATAATCAAAACGGCTAATAAAATCATAACATAAGTGTTATGTTAGACTTTTTTGCAAATTGTAGTGATTTATGCCAATTAACGGTGGCGACAAGTAGGCGCACCATGTATATTTCATAGTCGCTATCAAGTAAATTTTATTTCTCGGTCGTGGACATGAAGGAGGCCAATTTTTGGACCTTTGAAAGTTCATAAAAAAAATCACTAAAATTGATGCGAAAGTAATTTATTCGACTCTGTTTTAGTAAGACAAGGATATTGCTTCTCTCAAAAAACAATTTTTGGATTCAGTGACACTTTAACAATAGGTAGCAAAGGCTGCTAAACCCGTGACCGCAATGGTTCTGACCTGGCTGTTATATTTTATTAGCCTTCTAAGACTGTGCTATTTTATCTCTTTCTCATGCAGGCACTATATCTTAACTTATACTAAGGTTTTCCAAGTGAATGGAAACGCTCTTTTGATTTTGTCCCGCCTAATCGATAAAAAGCGGATGATTTGAATGGTATCTAAAGGGCGAAGACACAACATTTCGTCCAACTTTGTGTCACGTGCAGAGCTATCTTAAACTCCAAAGAACAAAAAGAATCTATGAACAGTGAATATCCTAGATTCCATTTGTCATCCAACTACGACACTTTTGCGCTATTTTAATTAAGGGCCACCGGGCCAATCATTTATTACCGGAGCATATTCCAACCTATTCAGACAAAGAACGTCGTAGTGAATTGTCTCTTTGTTTCTACATTGATTGAAGGTAACCCAGACTGTTTATGCGGCAAGAGATAATCAGGTAAAAATTTGCCAGTTTTGCGAAATTACTAAAGGCTAAATTTTCAAGTCACCAAAAGCATATTTGGAATAAGTCATATTTAGACCTGTGTTTAGGATAATAAGTGACGGAATGATCTCTTTGGCTGACTACATCAAAGTCACTGTTCGGAACCAAGATAACGACTAGAACGCTGCGACGGTATCGCAGAGGTCACGGGTTCAAATCTCGTACAGGCCTGACTTTTTTTCAGGCCTTATTTTTCATTACTGCCTAAGTAGTGTTCAATACTAAAAGGATCGCTTCCATAGTCAAACTTACAATTGTTGACAATTGCTTAATTTACGTTTCGAAACCTCATTAAGTGTTTCAAGCGAGTTATCCAGGGCAACAAGTCAGGTCATTTGCTTGCTTTGGTTAGTGCCATTTCATAATCCTGCCGACAAGATGACTTAGAAAGACATTGTATGCCCCAAACCTCTAGTAGCCTGCGAGCAGTGGGCACGTTCACCTATGTTATCCATGTCGAAACGACCACGAAGAGAGCTCTATACAACTGCCTCCACAACTTGCATCGCTCAAAATAAATAATCTGAAGGTCTTGTAGTCAAGATGTTGAATTATCAAGATTATGAAACTTCCCATACGATAAGTCACAACTGCAATGCACTCATGATAACTCACCAAATTGGCGGTCTCGTTCCTATTTCTGATTGATTCAATTCGCTGCTGGCTTTATAATGTTGTCTGGATGCTCATTGGTGTCATGATTTAGCTTGGTGGCAGCGGAACGCTCCATTCCCGCTCGGCGATCGTTTCAGCGAGGCTTGGAATTGTTTTCTTTCGGCGCTTAGAATTGACAGGGGCATCAGCTTTCCATTATCCTCTTCCGACAAGAAAAACACTTCAAACTTCTCAAAATTGGACTTATCTTGATCCATGCAGTATTCAAGGAATGACTGATAATGATCAAGCGCATTAGTTCAACAAGAATGACGGTCGGAGGGAAAACGAACTTAAACAGATCTGTGGTGATTATGAACGCGTGAAAGCGTCCAAATTGTACCAATTGATGTGAATATCTCAGAATTAGATTTTTTAAAGGAAACATGGGCGTATGAAAGAAGAATTGACGAATTTGTAAATTACGTATATCCATATCGAAAAAGGCTGTTTCAGAATCCTTTAGTGCTTATGCTCAGCATTCAATCTTGTTAAGAAGAGCTGCATAAATGTATGATTTCAAAATTTCACAGCCATAAAGCTACATTCGCTAACAACAAGAAATCAGAATTTGTTTGCTGAGAATTCCAGTACCTGCACCTTAACTCCGGCATTCAATTTGAACCAAAATTGGCGTCTATCGGTTGCCAAAGAGCAAATTAAAATTCTTTTATGCAAATTAGTTGGCTGCACATTAAATTGCATAAGTAATTCAAGCCAAGGTTAAACGCCTCTTGGTGGCATGAGGTGTTCGCTGAACATTCCAGGACATCCAATAATCGCTCTAAAAAAGTAAATAAATAATTAAAAATAACCCTCAGGTATACACTACCCAAGAGGGTATGCAAGAGATTAAAAATAACCCTCAGGTATACGCTACCCAGGAGGGTATGCAGGAGATTAAAACTAACCCTCAGGCATACACTACCCAAGAGAACATAGAACAGATTAGAAATAACCCTAAGGTATATACTAGAGATAAAAAAAAACCCTCAGGTATACACTACCCTAGAGGGTATAGGAGAGATTAAAACTAGTATGCAAGATATTAAAAATAACCCTCAGGTGTACACTACCCAAGAGGGTTTAGAATAGATTAAAAACAACCCTTACGTAAAAACTACCCAAGAGGGTATAGAAAAGACTAAAAACAACCCTAAGGTATACACTACCTAAGAGGGTATAGAAGAGATTAAAAATATCCCTCAGGTATACACTACCCAAAAAGGTATGAAAGAGATTAAAAACAACCCTCAGGTAACACTATCCAGGAGGGTATAGAAAAGATTAAAAATAACCCTCAGATATACACTACCCAGGAGGGTATAGAACAGATTAAAAACAACCCTCAGGTATACACTACCCAAGAGGGTATAGAAGAGATTAAAAGTTACCCTAAGGTATACACTACCCAAGAGAGTATAGAACAGATTAAAAACAACCCTCAGGTATACACTACCCAAGAGGGTATAGAACAGATTAAAAATAACCCTCAGGTATACACTTCCCAGGAGGGTATAGAACAGATCAAAAACTAACCCTCAGGTATACACTACCTAAGGGGGTATAGAACAGATTCAAAACAACCCTCAGGTATACACTACCCAAGAAGGTAAAGAACAGATTCAAAACAATCCCCAGGTATATACTACCCAAGAGGGTATAAAACAGATTCAAAACAACCCTCAGGTAAACACGACCCAAGAAGGTATGCAAGAGATTAAAAACAACCCTTAGGTATACACTACCCAAGATGGTATACAACAGATTAAAAATAACCCTCAGGTATACACTACACAAGAGGGTATAGAACAGATTAAAAACAACCCTCAGGTATACACTACCCAAGAGGGTATAGAACAGATTTAAAATAACCCTCAGGTATACACTACCCAAGAGGGTATGCAAGAGATTAAAAACAACCCTCAGGTGTAAACTACCCAGGATGGTATAGAACAGATTAAAAATAACCCTCAGGTATACACTACCCAAGAGGGTTATGCAAGAGGTTAAAAACAATCCTCAGGTATACACTTCCCAGGAGGGTATAGAACAGATTAAAAATAACTCTCGGGTATACACTGCCCTGGAGGGTATAGAACAGATTAAAAACAACCCTCGGGTATACACCACCCAAGAGGGTAAAGAAACGATTAAAAATAAGCCTCAGGTATACACTACCCAAGAGGGCATAGAACAGATTCAAAGAAACCCTTAGGTATACTCTCCTCAAGAGGGTATAGAACAGATTAAAAACAACCCTCAGGTATACACTACCCAAGAGGGTATAGAACAGATTAAAAATAACCCTCGGGTATACACTACCCAAGAGGGTATAGAACAGATTGAAAATAACCCTCAGTATACACTACCCAAGAGGGTATCGAACAGATAAAAATCAACTTTCAGGTAGACACTACCCAAGAGGGTATAGAACAGATTAAAAATAACCCTCAGGTATACACTATCCAAGAGGGTATAGAACAGATTAAAAACAACTCTTAGGTATACACTACCCAAGAGGTTATAGAACAGTTTAAAAATAAGCCTCAGGTATGCACTACCCAAGACGTTATAGAACAGATTCAAAACCACCCCTAGGTATACACCACCCAAGAGGGTATAGAACAGATTAAAAAGAACCCTCAGGTATACACTACCCAAGAGGGTATGCAAGAGGTTAAAAACAACCCTCAGGTATACATTACCCAAGAGGGTATGGAACAGATTAATAGCGGAGCTCGCAGAGCTTAGCCCCATAACTATACAAAATAGTAGTAACCCATCAAGCCGAAAAAATTTGGTTGTACGACTGTACGACCGTACGACCGTACAAGGTGATACTTTTAGCATGCGCAGCCAACTGTACCACGGGCACTATCTTAGCCATTACGTAATGGAAGGGCGAGAGAGAAGGTAATGCGCAGGCGCGATTGCGTGCGTAACTTGGATACCACATTCATTAGTGTGCGCCAAGAGACACCGTCAGATGACGATAAAGTGCGCATACTCGAACGTCGAGCTGCAGTGTAGCGTACTGCGGGCACACGGTTAGGCATTGCACGAGGGCTTCACGTGAGCTAGCAGATGAAATTTGCCACCCGCGTTTTGAGCGGGAAATCAAACTGGTCAGGATGTAGTTGAACAGTAATTCTCAGTATTTTGCAATTTCTAAACAACTCGTAAGATAACAATACCGGCAGAGTTTAAGCTTTAAGTCAACTGGAGGAAATTGTTATAATTCAAGTTCGTGGAGGGAGGGTTTTAATTGAAAATAGGCTGGATATAAAGAGACAGAGCGACCAAAGAAAGCAACAAGTAAACGGCGTAAAGCGAGTTCAGAAAATCGCGCAAGAAAGTTACAAAGGACGCCAAAATAGGCAGAATACGGCGAGAGGAACACGAAAGAGAACAATAAAGGGCATAAGTAAAAAGGCGAGTTTCTAGCGAAGAGCAACGCGAGAAGGAAATACAAGGTCGCTTCTGAAAACAGACAGAAAAGAGGTCATCAACAAAGAGAAGCGAACTGCAAAGGATCCGCGAAAGAAGAGGAGGTAAGTCGTGTCCTATCTGGGTTTTCTCTTACGCTAAGACCCAGAAAAAAATTCAAACTTTTTTTTTACCAATCGTCGTTTGATACTAGCTTCAGTTTTTAATTCAACTGATCACGTTTCGGTTAAACATTAACTCTGGCATTCATCGCCTAAAAACTCTTAAGCCGGTTCTTCGCTCGAATAACGTTGCAAAGTGTTCGTAATCTTCAAATTATTTCTTGTCCTTTCGTTTGAAAGTTTAATACAGTCGTGGTGTTATGGGAAAAGAAGTTATCTTAAGTATTTTGTTTTGCCTAGAAAGTTTTCAAATGATGTCGAACGGCGAGCGCAAGTTTCTACTTTTTTTTCTCTTCAGTTAATTATCGCAGGATTTACTCTATTCATTTGAAAAATTTGCGCTTTGCCGAAGATGTGTTGTTTTACCCTAAGAACGAAGTAATGGCCTTTCCCAAAATTAAAATAAAATGGGATTGAGTCAGCGATGTTTATGCTTACATTAAGTCTAACGCGGTTATTTGATTTTGACGATATTGTCATGTGAGAACCCGTCAAACATTTGAGAATCAAATTACGGACCGCAAATGTGTGGTGCAAACAAACTCATGGGTAAAATGGAGATGGTTCTACAGCGGAATGAGTGAATTTGGAGCAACTTCAGAATACCCCGCAACTCATTTACATGTCATTGAATAAGAATAGATCTTAGATCTAAGATCTTCAAAGCCTCCCGACACATGTAAGTGAGGCGGAAATGAGTTGCGGGGTATTCTGAAGTTTAGCCGTGAATTTAATTGTTTGGTTGTCGTACTCTTCAGCGCTATGTTTTACATGCTTTCTACTCGATTCGTTCGAACTTCAGGAAATGGTTTGTGTAACAAAACATGGAGCCACTTTCTCTTCGCTCAACATCTCGAGGCGTTGTGATGAACATGCTGCGATACGATAGTTTTTTTCCTTATGCTGGAAACTGAAGAATTAATCTCTAAAATTGGTATTCATCACATTTTGCAAGAAGCGTCCGAGCTGTGATCGTGCAATTAAACGGGGTTCTGGCAATTTGACCTCACAAGCGCGATGGTAAACATGGTTCGCGTAAATAATTGTTGTTTACAGTTATCGAATTCAAGAGCAGTTTTTGAGAGTCTGTTTCTGTAACCTTCCTGGATATTTTCTGTTAAATTCATTGAGGTTTAGTCTCGGAATTTCATAAGCGATTATGAATGATAGATTCGTATTGGCACCATAATTTAAGGAAATTTTGTCAACATATTAACAGATTACAATTCGCGAACCACTTCTATTAACCTACTTGGATATTCTCTCTTAGAGTAATTGGGTCACAGCCTCGGAATTTCATTAATAATTAAGAACGACAAATCCGTATATATAGCACAAGTGAAGCACATTTTAAACTTTCATACGATTGTAGGAAACTATACTTAATTAACTCTCGATAAATTGGCCTGACATAACTCGATGATTATTTTATTATTCTGTAGCCCCAAAAGCCCGGCTAGTGACTCTGGAGGTACTGAACTTGATATATTTGATACACAAGGCACCCTTCAAGTAGAAAGGTTAGGATAAAATTACTTTTATGACCATATATTGCACTCGGTTTACAAATATAGATAATTACATAAAAAATACTTATTATAGCTGTATTCAGAAGCATAGACAAGTAGACAATATGCTTCTGCTTTATTTTATTGTAAGGGATTTCTTTTTATGTAACATGTATCCATCCTTTAATTTCCTCCTTAACCTGCTTGCAAATAATTGGATTTTAAGTTTGAATTCAAGATAAAACAGAAGTCTTGCAGAGTTCTCATTCGAGATGGAATTCAGGTGAGAACATCAGTAAACAAGTTAAAATCATATGCTTCTCCTGAATCTTTAATTTTATTGCCCTGGTTTTTTTCAGAAACCCTATTTTATATCTCTGTGTGACAGCTAATGATTAAAAATTTCAGTGAATAGATATGCTATATTTTAG